TTAAAATGCTCATTTAATTATCGTCATCGCTAACATCGATCAAAAACAAAAATGAAGATATCATTTGATTTATCATTAATCTCCTCGTATCCGTACTCATCCCAATGATAAAATTAGCAATTTAGATAGAAGGAGATCGTTATAAAACAATTCGATTGATCTACGATATCGAAAGCCTACACACACGAACAATCAAAGTTACAGGCCGAATACGAAAGTCGTTTTTCGAGGATCGACGATCAGGAAGAGCGATCAATCACGCGAGAAATCTACGTGCCGATGTCTCTCGGCGTTAAACGAGATACGAGGTAGGTAGCTTATGGAAAAGTAGAAATGAAATGGGTCGAAGAGTCGATATTTCATATCGAACTAAAAGAGAAATGAAAGAGAGGCAGCCGGTTAAATTTTCCAATGGTATTCTCTCCCACCCTTTCTCTCTCTCTCTCTCTGTCTCTCCCTCTCTCTCTCTCTCTCTCTCTCCCCTCTCTCTCTCTCTCTCTCTCTCTCTCTCTCTCTCTCTCTCTCTCTCTCTCTGTTTCCCCTCCGTAGTCGACGTCGTTGTTGTCGTTTCTTCGAATTGAGAAAGGCAATCTCTCAGGAATTAGCGAAATATCAAGGAGAAGACGAGAAGAAAGAGAGAAAAAGAGAGAAAAAGAGAAAGAGAGAGAGAGAGAGAGAGAGAGAAAGAGAAAGAGAGATGGTTTGCGAGTTTATGGTGACTACGAAGGACTCCAGCAATGAATCAACTTATTTAAGGGTAGTTGGATTTCGCGAGTCGATGCGCCACACACAGCGAGAACGACCCTCCGTTTCTCTTTCTCCATTCCTTCTTCTCTCATCTTTTTCTTTACTCTCTTTCTCTCTCTCTCTCTCTCTCTCTCTCTCTCTCTCTCTCTCTCTCTCTCTCTTTCTCTCTTTCTCTCGCTCATGCACACATTCTCGTTGGGGCGCCTAGTCGAATGATTTATAGTTTTCCTTCCGCGAGCACCGGTTCACCTTCCGCCACGCGCTTCCTTCGTAAACCCCCTCTAAAATCCTATCGTCGTGCCAAATGTAGACAAAATAGTCGAAATTTCATCCTCCTTATCAGACCTTTATCTTCTTAACATTTCACGTATAAACCTAAATTATCATTTAGTTAGATTTTCACAGTATGTATCAGTCTAAAGTTGAAGAGAAAACAAAGAGAAATTTCTCGTTCGATAAGATTCGAACGTGGCTGGTCACGTGGACAACGGCCAGCCGAGAATAATTAGTCATTTATGAGACCGTAAGTGGGACCGCAAATCGGCCCTCTTCCAAGGGACAACGAAGAGCTCCTGGGTGGGAAGTCGCGAAGGGAGGACGGCGTTATCTCAAAATTATTAATCATATCGTAACGCTACGAGAAAGAGAAAGAGAGAGAGAGAGAGAGGCGTTGGCGAATAGAAGGACCCAGCTCCATGGACTTATCTGACACCTTAATCGATTCAAAGTTATTAATTATGGTTTCTGCCCTCTTCACTCTCTCTCTCTCTCTCTCGTTCACTCTCTCTCTCCCTCTCTCTCTCTCTCTCTCTCTCTCCCCTCTCTCTCTCTCTCTCTCTCTCTTTCTCTCTTTCTGGCACTCCCTATCATGCGAGACTTGCACACGGTAGTAGCAGACCTTTCTAAAGCAACAATGTAATAATAATAATAATAATAATAATAATAATAATAATAATAATAATAATAATAATAATAGTAATAATAATAATAATAGTAATAGTAATAATAATAATAATAATAATAATAATAATAAAAATAATAATAATTTTTTCTTTTTTTTTTGCAACGATTTTTTCTTTCTTTGAAACGATCATTTTAACATTTTAATGAATGATAATGTCATTCATTAGGAACCAATCGAAAAGTAAAGATATTGAATTGTTCAAAAAATTCGTACCCTCATCTTCGATGAGAGACATTAAAATGAATCATTAAATATATAAAAAAAAATAAAAATAAGTATATATACTTAGTAAAATAACTCGTTTCAATATATACGCTCATAAAACTCATATGTTTTTGGTATCATTATGTACATATACATTTACGTATATGTATGTACGTATGAAGAAACGGCACGAACTTATTGGAAAAGCGAATTTATAGATCGTAAGAGACTAGACTTACTTGTACGTAGCAAGAACCTTTCAGCAAAGCCTAAAGAAACGATAATTAATCTACAGTAGAGTCTAACCTATCTAATAATGATAGCAATATTTAACAATACCATTTACTAATTTTTTCTTTTCTTTTTCGTTTTCTTTTTTTTTTTTTTTTTTTTAACCGATCGTTTTCATATTCTGAAGAATGATAATGTCGTTTATTAATGAACCAATTGAAAAGTAAAATGGATCGAAAGAGGCAGAACTCGATAAGCTTCGTGGATCGAGAAGCATTAAGTTAGAAAGTACAATACAAGTAAAAGGAGGAGAAAGAGGAGGAGGAGTAGGAGGAAGAGGAGGAGGAAGAGGAGGAGGAGGAGAAGAGAAAAAAGGAGAAAGGAAACTCGACTAGTTATATTCCAAGGAAGTTGAGCGATCGTCTATGCAAATACCTAATCCTTTCAAAGATCCATCCAGTGACGTTGACGAATTGGCAAAGGACTTTCCTCTGAGTTTAGCATCAACGGATTGCGATCCGTAACACCATTTGTTTTCTCGAAAGAAGATGCGAAACGAGTTAGCTTTCTTCACGACCGATATTTCTTAATTACCAATAAATCGAAATAGAATGAACTTTTCAATAAGTGGAGAAGATGCTGTACAGATCATATATAAACTGGATTTCATTTGAACAATGAACGAAGGAAAAAAAATATATATATATATATACATATATATAAAAGAGAAAGAAAACAAAGCAGGACCAATGAATTTTTGACAAATTATTCATCGACATTGAAAAAGACATAGTTTAAAGAAGGGAGAAAAAAAAACAATGTTATATCGAGCGGGTAAAAATATTTTTCACTCCCCTAAAATAATGGGGGGGGGGGGGGATACTGAAAATAGTATTCCCCCTCCAAAGTCTCACCCTCAACAATGAAACGCCTTACGAAAGAGCCTTAATATCTCTTTAAAGAGGATGACATAGAAAAAAGAAAAAGGATGAACAAACTCTTTTATAAGAGAAAACTTTCAAGAAACAATGACTTTAAATGAAACTTTAATAACGTTTTTAATTATTTCATTTTTTATAATATAAATTTTGTTAATATGACATAATATGTACGTTTATCGTATACGTAGCATCATTCGAGTTGACCAATTAAATTTTATCTAGATACGTATGATTTGACAATAAAAAATCGAATAGAAAAAATAAAAGAAACATATAAAAAAAACCATACAACGATTCATTCTATTCGTTCCACGAAAGAAAAAGAGAAAAAGAAAGAGAGAAAAAGAGAGATAGAGAGAGAGAAAGAGAGAGATTAATACACAAACCTTTCCAACCATCGAGTTGGAGATTTTCGTTTTCCTCCCTCTTGTTAGTAGGGAGGAGGAACACCGAAGTCAACCGTATAACATGACATACGTATAATCCGTGCAAAGGGTTGATCCCAGATTTAACCGACTGTCCGAACGAAACGTATTCGCGATTCTTAAGCCGCGGCAAATTTGAATCTGTCAATCCTAAGCGTTCCATTGCGACGATTACGTCGTCCACGGGACGAATATCCGAGCATTCGCATAATCCCATCCTTCTTTTCTACTCAAAAAATGCAGGAAAAAAATAGAAAGAAATAAAAGAAATAAAAAAAAGAAAAAAAAACAATAATAATAAAAAGATAAAAAGAAAAGAAGATATTCCTCCCTTTCCAATTTTTTTTATCATTATTATTATTATTATTATTATTATTATTATTATTATTATTATTATTATTATTATTATTATTACGATAAATCATAATTATATCGTACATAAATGAAAAGAAAAATTTCTTTAAAAACGTTCGATTTTGTGAGAAAAAGAAAAAAAAAAGAAAAATAGAAACGGAATTGTTGCGAAAAGAATATATATCCCAAAAAAAATACGAAATTGCATCCCTCTTCCAAGCACGGTATAAGCTGAAACAGTATTAAGACAGCAGACTCCTACCTCGGGGTCGATGTATCATTTGCCGGCGGATCGTTAGGCGGTTGTTTCAATTAGTTTTCTCCCGAGCAACCTCTAGCACCCACACTGGCAAAGCATGAGCGAGTAAAAGATGGATAGATGGATAGATGGATAAATAGATAGATAGATATACAGATAGATATACATATATATATATATATATATATATATATATATATATATATAAAGAGAAAAAGAGAGAGAGAAAGAGAAAGAGAGAGCTAGAAAAGGGAACTGAGACCTTAATCGCAGAGACCACTTTTTTCTTATAATTAGGAAAAGCTCGTTAATGTGAGCTCGGATAAATGTCCGAGCCCTCTCCCTTCTTCCCTCTTCTATCTTCCTACTTCCGCCATGTTGCATCAAAATAAATCGGACCCGACCAACAATTATTCCCTCGATCATGAATTATTATATACCTAATTATTTATTTTGCACATAAGTAAAAATATCATTCATTCGATTATTATTTCATATTATCTATTTTTATTATCATTTCTAATTGAAAATTTTTATAATAGATATAAAATGTGATTAGAGAGAGGATTTATATAACTCGCAGAACCCTCTAGCGGAAAACAACCTATCGATCGCTTATTGAGATCGAAAACAATGCTGCCATCTAACGAATATCTTTCGACACGTACTAATCATTCGACTTTACCGATAACTTGGATAAATAAATAAATAAATATATATAATATATGTATTTGCAACATTTGGAATTATGAAATCAAGTGTAGAAATAATAAAAATTTACTTGAAAATATCTTGACAATTTTTTTTCTTTTTTCTTTTTCTTTTTTTTTTTTTTAACGAATCATGAAATATGTAATAAAATTTTTAGGACTCACCGAATGAAAGAACGCCAACTATCCAAGAAGCCTTTCTCCACGATATAAAATACTTTCTCGGCATCTTCACACTTAGAAATTTCATTTCTATTTCTTGCATAATACAAATCGATAAGCTCGTCCTTTTGTTGTTTAGCTTTTATCTTGTCGTCCTTCTTTGCCTTTTGTGCATTTTCCATTTTCTCCTGATATGCATGATCAAAGAAAAAAAGAAAAAAAGAAAAAAAAAAGACAAAGGAAGAAAAATATTCGTTAAAAGAGATACGACAAGAAATTAGAAATTATAAAAAGTATACCAAAACGTACACGTACCTCACAGATCGAACATGACGAGGTACCAAATGGATACTCTTTCGAATTTGGAAAATATTTCCTTAATATCGTCCAAACTTCGCGAGGTACTATTTTCCTACTAGAATCCGGTGTTTTCAATAGATTATGTTCACAAAGTAAATCTTCGTTAAAGTTTAAAACAACTTCGTTCTCCTCGCCATCTTCAACTTCTTTCGTACACTCATCGTTATCTTTATCGCCATTTTTATTCTCATCCTCGGTTAATCGAGAATTTTCACGATCTTCTCGTTCTATTTCCTGTTCCATATCTTCGGTAAATTTTTCCATAGCTAATCTCCTCCAAGATCTCAAAGAATCTGCGCCGACTATGTAACTAGTTTCGCTTCTATGAAATAACAAAAGCATTACGTGTAGATATTTTTATTTAAAAATTATAAAAGAGGAAAAAAAAATTTTTTTGAATAAATTATGAAGAAATACTAACGATTCTTTAAAATTACGTATTATATCGCTAACTTCCTTATGATCACGTTCTAAAACCATTTTGAATCTAAGCATTTTGCAACGTCTTCTTACACAAACTTCGCACAAAGTATTCTGATCCAAACGTGGCCCTCCACGATACTTGTCATATAATAGACTAGCTGCTGAGGTTGGCAAACATTTGGCACGGTTAACTTTTAATGGATCTAAACGATAATGAGGACACATCAAGACCGAATTATCTATCGGTGGAACACCATCGGTTAGCAATTGTCCATTTAACCATTTTGATAACCAATCAATTGGTATCCATTGATATTCTATGCAAGACATTGTATTTCCAATAATATCGTACACATCTATTACGAGTTGTCTCTTAAAATTCTGATCTTCTATTTCTTTTTGCTAAAAACAAATAAAAATCGACATTGTATTTTAAATATCTTTAAAAAAGAATTTCAAAGATTCTATGAGTACAAGTGAATTATTTTTTTTTTACTTACTTTTTCTTGCTGAATAGCCAATAAACTTAACTCGTGTTTAACATTTTCTTGACGAACGAGTTCTCTCATTGTATTACTCACTTGCCAATTTTCAAATTCAATCTATAACATATTATCAGACAAACGTATGATATATTAATAAATAATATTGAAAAATTACATATACACACCTCTTCGTAGAAATCACGTTCTCCACAGCTCATTGCTCTATGGGCAGCACCGTTTAACAATTTATAATCGAGTTTTGTATTTTTTGTGACAATTTTCTTTGCCTGTTCTGTCGGACTTTTATCGTCCTTTGGAACATCAAAGTTATCATTTTTCCCTGTCACAACACTGTCCACTTCCATCTTGAAATCAGCCTCTATTTTCATCATTTTTCCTGGACTTTCAATATCTTTAAAATCATCAGTTCCATTCTTACGTTTTCCTTCATCTGACGAATCAGATTTGTCCTTAACAGTGAGTCTTTCCAAACTAACGGAATCACTATAACTATTGCACTCTGAATCAGTCTTCTTTGCTTTTAATTTTTTTCCATTACCTAATTTTGGTTCAATAGTTAATTTCTTATAGACCAACATATACGCTGTGTTGGATGAAAGAAATCCTTTTGGTACACGACCACGTTTCATATTTTTTGTTGATTCTGTAAGGATCAAAGAAAGAGAGAAACACAAAATTTATATTTAATTATGTATATTACAAATATATGAAATGTCTAACAAGAATAAAATGTGAGATTCTCACCATTGCCACTATCCTCAATCCTCTTATTCTGCATTTTTTCAACTTTATCATCACTAAATTGATACCATTCTCCAGCCGAATTACATATATTCGCAATGTAATGACCCGAATGAGCTGAAGGTCCTTTATGACTCAAAACTGCAACGAGACTATACATATGGGTTTGAGGAGGACATCTAACATACTCGGACATATCCAAGTCTTCCGGAAAATGGATGAAAGAGTTCAATTTTCTTTTTTGACCGGAATCCCTGTACAGATAAGAACGAATTAAATGAAAATATAGTAAAACAATAGTTTAATTAAATTTAGTAGGAAAGTAGTACGAATGTACAGGCTCACCTATGAAATACGAAGCGCATCAATTGAATGTTCAAAGTTTCTGGTAGCAATTCCAAACGTATAAATCTTCTAGCATCCTTTTTGTCGTTACAGGTAACACAATGGTACTGATTAGCTCCATTCAATTGTTCTTCAGTGAGATATTTTTCTATAGCTTCCTTCAAAGTAGCTGCAAGCTGCAAGTCCAATTCGTAGAATGTGGTCGATGTTGGATACTCGGTACCGCAGGTGGAGCAACTATATTAAACAAAAATAGTAGATATTATTTACACGATACACGTCTCTTTCGGTCAGATCAGTTGATCGCACCAGTCACCGTAGCGAGCAACGTGTCCTACCATGTTCTCATCGTCAAGATCATCTGCATCATCATCGTTTAGGACAATTCTCATTTGTTTTCCACTTCAGAAAACCCACCAATTGATATAGCTGTATTTTCCCTGTGACAGCCTCCGCAACATCCGCTGCAACTCTGAGTTTTGCTGTAGCTTTCCTTCAATATGGCACAACAACAGCTTCGAGAACTCCTGCGCGTCCTGTTGCGTTCTAGTATCCAAAGACAGGGCGATGGCAAGATTCATTGGATCGAGTAGACGTCTGTTTCCGAATTGCATCATGGCAAATATGTATTGCAATTGACCAACCGCCGTTACCGGATGATAAGAAAGTCCTGCCTTCTTCGCTTGATACAAAGCCTCCCTCTCCTCAGGATCTTCTGTTATATTCCACTTGTATATTATCCGCCTGTAACCAAGATAATATTAAACACCATATTCGTACAACGTATGCGAAAGAAATGTACGCAAAACGTATAGTTATTGTAATACCTCATATCCTCGTTGTGAAACCACATTTGAATTAAACTGTTGACGTAACACGTTGCTCCTAGATTTTTCAGGCCGACATATTGAGTAGGGTCACGAAGCTCAGACAAAGAACTTTCCAAGGAAACGATCTCCGTGGGTTGCGATTTGATATATTTTTCTTCTCCTAATCCAGTGAGACATTGTGGATTATTTGTACAATTTCGTCTGTGAATGAAGTAAAAGAAATATTCAGATAATTGTTGAGAAACGTTAAAGAGCTGTTATACAAGATTATAGTATTACATTGATAAGAATCTTACTTGCAACTTTTGCAACCTTTAAGACCTAGTCTATAAGCAGTTTCTAAATGTATTCTCTCTATTTCTTCGGGTGTAACAGCTTCAATCCAAGACCATGCTAATTTATCTAAATCCGTCTTCTTTGCAGGTGCCATTTTCTCCTGAAACAATTAAGTAATAATAACAATAATAATAATAATAATAATAATAATAATAATAATAATATAATAATAATAATAATAATAATAATAATAATAATAATATTAATAATAAAGACTAGTCTAATGTAAAGTACACGTTAGAAGTAATAAAAAGCAAAAGTTTGATAACAATATCTTATATTTCTTATATGCTTTTGTAAAAAGCTTTATAGCAATGATTATATTATATATTCCTACTTCAGGAAGGACCGTCCATGCTTTTGAAAGGTCCCGAAGACGGAGACACGTTAACACGAGAACGTTACCCATTGGATTTATCATTTATTCCTTTTCGCGCCATAACGAACTAATAAATTCCATGAGAAATAAAAGAAGAAATGAATCATAGTGGAAGAAAAAAAAAATTGAACAAAAGACTATAAAGTGGCATCGATCAATCGAAGATTAAAAAGGCTTTCAACATTTGAAAGATAACCAACGACTGATAGACGTCGTAAAATTGTCGAAGGGAAGATAGTCGAAGGTAAATATATCAAGGAAGTTGATATCAAAGTAGATATCCTCGAAAAGTAGATAGGTCGCGAAAAATACGCACAAACGTGTATTTGCGACCAAGACATAGTTCCACGTAATGAGCTTTCATAGAAAGATGCTTCGAGGTTAGGAAAAATGCCGCCGTGTATACCTTTTATATCATGATAAAGCGATCCTTAACGAGAACCGATGGATCACGATGCGCGATAGAGCGCACACCAGCGCACGACAGCGCACGGAGATGCGCGATATTTCGCGATCTTCTTACTCTATCGTTTTATACAATAGGAAAATTCGAAAGATTTCTTTATCAAAACACACCGCAACACCGTGTATTCCTCACGTTCACCCGCCACCGCCACCACCATCCGCCACCATTCGCCACCATTCGCCACCATATGCAATCAGATTGCATCGAGGCGCGCACCGAATCAATCGTTAAATGATATTTTCTTCATTCATCTCGTTACTTTCTTAATTGATAATTTATAATATAACAAATCTGTCGCATCGTTGAACCTTTTAACACGATTACGAACTATTTCTATCACTGACGTTAAACTATTTCTTTTCTCGCGCCACCGTTATCAAATACATATGGATGTATGTGGACTGTACAATTTATATGTAGATGTCCGCATCTACATGCAAATTGTATTTGATTTGTATTAAGAAAAATAAGAATATTATCGTCATCAACGAACAACCGAAGATAACCGAAAATAATTTCTAAACGAGATCCAATAAATTGCATCGTTATATGTTTCAGGCATGCAAAATATTGCAAGAATAATATACAAAAAAAGAATTGCGTAACGGTAACACACCAATTTATGCTTTTCACTTGCATCACCGCGATTTAAAGGCGCAACAAGCGCGAACGACGTTAAAAAATCATAACTTTCTTTCTTTTTTTCTTCCTTTCTTTTTTTTTTGGATTACATGACATTCAAACTCATTTCTTTTTACGATTGAATACGAGTGATTTGACATCTCGAAAACTTTCACGATTAAATTAAAATGTCACAAACTAAAATAGGTTAACAAAATTGAAACATATACGTTCACGAATTAATTATTGTATTAATTAATTATTGTATTAATTAATTATTGTATTATTTTTTTAGTCACCAGTGATATTCTCCTAGAATTCTTGGAGGTGGCATTTAATCATATACTTTATTATAGAAAATTATATCCAAAAGAAATCTTTGTTAAAAAAAAAATATATGGCGCTGTGGTTCATATCTCTGAACAGCCAGAACTTAATGAATATTTGAAAAATGTCTTAACTGCTATTAGAGAATTACTTAAAGAAGATGAAAACAGTATCAAAGCTGTCAACCTTGTTGTTTTTAATAAAAATAGAATTCCCATAGAAAAGTTTGTCTTTGATTTTGTTAAATTACAAGCTCAAGGAATTGAGTATGACTTTTAATTAATCTCCTTTATCAATTAAAGTTACAATGATATAAGATAAAATTTGATGAACTTCCTATGTGTTTATAATGTCCAAACTTGCTTACAGAATTGATCCATACTATCTTAAAACCGAAGAAGCTTTAAGAACAATCTGTTTAAAATTGTCCATATGTGAGACATATTTAAAAACTCTTCCTGAAGATGCATCATTTTCTATAGAAATTCAAACGTATGAAACTGCACACGTGTCTCTCAGTGAAAATCCATTATGTGAGGATTTTCCATGGATTGTTGAGGATGAAAATAAGAAAATGATTAATAAAAAATTATTACCGCTGAAGACAGTTAAGACAGAATGTTTAAATTTACAGATGTATGTACTCCAAAATGCTGATGTTGAAGATACATTATAATGTAACATTATGTAGAAAATAAATAAATTTTCATTTTTTTATATATATATATATATATTTTGTAATATTTATTCATTAAATTATTGATAATACTTAAACCCACCATTGTGTCAATAATTTACCTAATAAATATTTTAGAAATAATAACTCCTTAATCATATAGGATCTAATAATAATAAATTATAGATAATTTGTAGAAGGGAAAAATACAATAGTGATCTAACAATTTAAACAATTTTTTAAAATAAATAAATATATCGCAAATAATTTATTTTTATATTGATATATTGCACGCAATTACACTTATGCAGGAAGTTATACAAGTTCGTCCATGATAATACGAAAGCAGATCAGATTGAACTGCATAGAAATTTATTGCGTTAAACACGTGGTGGGAATCAGCTGATTTGTGGTCGAACGTCAAAATACAAATGAGTGATCAAACATTTGTATTCTTTCTGATATGTGATATACGTACTTCGAAATAAAATAAGTAATATTAAATCATAAAAATGATGGTAGATATAGACGAAGCCGAAGTGACGAAAGTTCAATCACAAAATGACAGGTATAATGATAATAACCTCACTTTTTTGTTTACAGCTAAAATACATATTTTTTGAAATTACATTATATATGATATAACGAAAGTAAATACAAAATTATCAAACTACGATCCTATATCCTTTGTTTTTCAGTGTTGAGGATATAGTAGACTTTTCTAAAGCTACAGAAAAATTGGCACATGGAATATTAACTATCTATCAACCATCATTGGAGAAAGTCAAGGAAAATCTTAATGAATTGACGTAAGAATAAATCCTAATCTTCATCATTGCTATGCTATTATAGAATCATTTTCCAACTTTTAGAAGTAAGCAAGAAGTTTTACTTAATCAAATACAAAATGATAATAAGAAACTTCAAGATGTCCTTGAAGATGCAGATTTAAATGAAATGGTAAAAATTTCATATTTTTACTTTGGAAAAAATATTCTACTTTATATATATATAAATGCAATTTCAGTTTGCTACCATTAAATTATATCAAGGAAAATTAACAACTATTAAAAAGGAAATGGTCATGGTACATGATAGGACCTTTAAATTAAAAGTATGTTTTTATTATGTTTCTTTATAAAATTAATTTTATTTAAAAAAATATTTATTCATAGAAACGGGCATTACGCTTACAACAAATTAAACAGAAGGAAGCTCTTGGTAGAGAACAACAAAGAGAACAAGAGCTTCGTAGAGAACAAGAATTAATTGGTAAGCCTACAACATCTCAATGAAATTCAATGCCTGTAAAGATCTACCAAATTGATTACTTAGAACAGATAGTATATATATATGATAAGATAAATATTAAAAAATATAGAAACATTGTGCATTTATATAATTAATATTGATGATAAAATATTTTTAAAAATGTATTAACATTTATGGGTTCATAAAAAGTTACAATTAATTTTTTGAAAATTCACATTACCACACTATCTCCCAGTGTCCACTAGATAAGCACTTTTCTTTTACTTTACATAACCGATTAAATGTTCTTTCTGGAGGAAATCCAATAATCTCTCTGTCTTCTTGTATTCTAAACGTAAAAGTAGACTCGTGTGTCCCAATAAAGTACCTATTAAAAATAACTTTTAATTCATAAACATATTCTTTAAAACTCTACAACATTATACTTGCCTAGCATACGAGCAAATTATTTGATCAATAATTGCAATACCACCATCCTTAAACTTTTTTTTAACATAATCTGATGGCACATAATTTAAAACCGTATATTGTGGTAAGTATGATTTAAGTTCGGCGAGTTCTATAAAAAGCATTTAAGTATACATTTATATATTTGTTTTTATAAAGCTCACAGAAAATATTCATTTATAAATTAGTTTTAGTTTGACCTTGCTCATCTGCATCAGTAGCAACAAATAAAAGTTTTAATTCATATTCTTTCATTTTTTTTGCCAACTGAGATGCAGCTCCTTTTATTGTTGGCGTCGATTCTGACCGCCCAATAACAAAATCACGTCTTCTCAAATGAACTGATAAATATGGACCACCAATTGCATTTCTTTTTTTCTAAAATTTATATATATTTAGGGAACAGCTGAATACTGTTCTGTAAAATTGAATGGTATGTATAAATTAATCAATTAAATTTACAAAATATATTTTTAAAGTAACAAACTTTTTCTTGGATCCAATCGGATGGACGTTCGGTATTATCATCTTTATCTGTAGAATTTAGATATTTCGCTCTAAAGTCAAATGCAATATCATAAAGTTCAGAATTATAACGCATACTACGTCTTGCTCTCCAATAATCTTTAGAACCATATGAATCATGCAAAGGTATTTCCATATGATCAAACATGACAGATCTAAGAAAAAATATATATATATATCTTGATTGATATGATTATAAACATATTAATGATTATCAATTTCTTTCAAATACACATACCTATGAAAAAAAGGATTAAGATTTGTTTCAAGGTTCGACATTGTTCCATGAAATAAAATACATTTCATTTGTCGGCTTGTGATATTAGAATAATTCCAAAAGTAACCACTATATTCTTCTTTCGCTTTTTTATAACGTACAAGTTTGGAAGGACAATCTTTTTCTTCATTTTTATCTTCAAATATACCAGTTTTAAACATTTCTTCATCATTTTGTAAAATATACACAACATCTAATTGAGTTTTTTTATTTTTCGAAGAATACTCTGGAATTAACGAAACATGCTATAAATGTAAATATAACAACAAATAGTAATTATTACCTTCAAAGAACTTGTACATTTCAATTACAGGAGCATATTTTTGTAAACTTGCAATATCAAAAAATGTACCCCATGGTAACGATACTTGTGGACCCACATCTTTGCTCTGCCAATGGTATAAATCACCTGTACAGTCCATTATAAAAAAATGATGATTAATTAATTAATATAAAATACAAATAGAAAGAAAAATATTACCCCATGGTGGCAGAACCAAGTGCCACTTGAATTTTTTATCCTTTTTATTTAAATTTTTTACAAAAACGGCAACACGAACGTATACATCTCTTCTTAGATTAAAACCTTCCGGAGGATTAACATCGTATAATATGTAACTAAATTAAAAAAAAAAGAAAAAAACCAATATTGTTACAAATAAAAATAATATACATAATGTCTATAATAATATTATCATTAATAACCTCCAACCGTTTGTTTGATAAATATTCAAAATCTCCACAATTTTTCTCAGTTTTCATAACTTTATCAGATTTTTGACAAAAACCATATTCTTCGGATTTTACTGTGAAAACGATCGAGATCAATATAAAATACAAAATTTTAAGAGAAGATAAATTGAACATTTTTAACTTATATTATTTTCGTGAACTCGGAAGATATAATGGCACAAATGTTTCATCGAATAGTGAAGACGAAATTATCATTCTTTCGAAACATAATAACTTATTTTAAATATAAAAAATTAAAGAAAAGAATGAAAAGAAATAAATATTTTGTAATATTACCAACAAAACATTAAAATCGAATAAGACATAATATTTAAGAAAATATAGTAAATTTCTTGTTTCTATTACGCACCTGCGCAGTTCATCTCAACATTACTTCCTTTTATTTGAATTGAAAATCGTTAGAAACATTGAAAACAAAATATTTTTTTAATATACGTAAACTTTCAATTTTTCTTTTTTTTCGTCTTTCGCCTTTCATTGATGAAGATTAATAAAGAAATGAAGTAAGAAAATCAAAAGTCGGATTTGTAAGCTTATCGATGAATGGATTAGAATTATCTTATTTGATTAATAGTATCTGTAGTAATGATAATAATAATTATTATTTACCGACTTATACAATATTTATAATTCATAGTTTAGTTAACGAAGTTATTTCAATACTTTTTTCTTTTTTGAAAAAGTGCATTATGTTATGTTGTGTATATATATATGTATGTATAATATTTATACACACACACACACACATATATATATATACTGCGGCTCGTTTCCACTTTTCTTCATTATCTTATTAAAGTATACACTTGGCATATAAAAATTACAAGGACAATTTATAATGCTAGTGATAATAATGGTTGTCTTATAATAATAATAATAATAATAATAATAATAATAATAATAATAATAATAATAATAATAATAATAATAATAATAATAATAATAATAATAATAATAATAATAATAATAATAATAATAATAATAATAATAATAATAATAATAATAATAATAATAATAATAATAATAATAATAATAATAATAATAATAATAATAATAATAATAATAATAATAATAATAATAATAGTAATAATAATAATAATAATAATAATAATAATAATAATAATAATAATAATAATAATAATAATAATAATAATAATAATAATAGTAATAATAATAATAATAATAATAATAATAATAATAAGAAGAAGAAGAAGAAGAAGAAGAAGAAGAAGAAGAAGAAGAAGAAGAAGAAGAAGAAGAAGAAGAAGAAGAAGAAGAAGAAGAAGAAGAAGAAGAAGAAGAAGAAGAAGAAGAAGAAGAAGAAGAAGAAGAAGAAGAAGAAGAAGAAGAAGAAGAAGAAGAAGAAGAAGAAGAAGAAGAAGAAGAAGAAGAAGAAGAAGAAGAAGAAGAAGAAGAAGAAGAAGAAGAAGAAGAATAATAATAATAATAATAATAATAATAATAATAATAATAATAATAATAGCGGCGATAGCTTTAATACTAAGATAGTAATAATAATAGTAGTAGTAGGTGGTAGTAGCAGCAGTAGCAGTAGTAGTAATATTATTAATAATAGTAACAGCGGTAGCAATAACTACGATATTAAGATTATTATTATTATAATCATTATAATCTGGTATCTAGGAATTATTTTCTTATTCATCTTTTTATACATATACTTGCATAAAGTTCTTTATGTAACCTTCATCGTTTTTACTTGTGTTCGATTTTTTTATGCAATTTTTCTTTTTACAATTTGTGCTTCTTTCGTCTATTTTACGTGTGCTTTCTCTTATTTTTCTATTTTTTTTTATTTTTTTATTTTTTATCCTGCTAGCGATGTTAACATTTAGGCAAATTCTCGATCATACTAACAGCGATACATGTTTTAATACTGTGAATGATTTCTTTATAACAAATACAACATGACACAAATTTTCATACTACTTAATTTTTTGTAATTACAGCATCCCTCCTTTTTCTCTGTGAAATCTCTAGCATTAACATCACAACTGGAAAATGCTCTGTGCTTTACCAGAAAACATGCTATGTTACATTCACTGTACAAAATGTGAAGTAGTAAATTATTATTATTATTATTATTATTATAATTAATTTCAAACAATGTATTATAAACGATATACTATGATGAAGTGTTCTTTATATATGATGCAATTATCAATTTATATGAATAAATTTCAAAGTTATAAAAATAGGTATTATATCTATTACATGATTTAAATAAGAACATTTCATTAATTTTTGCAATAAAATTTTATAAGATAATATAGAAATAAATGAGGTTGATCGAACGATTTAATTTCACACTATGTGCTGAAATTAATAAATCAGTATTATCAAAATATTCTCTTTATACACAATACAGATATTGGTCGATGTTTATACTACTTCACATTTAGATAATATTTTTTGAAATTAATTGATTTGTCTCTATTCATCTATATGCCGATATCATGACTTGTACTATAGATGATAAATAATAATCAGTATATAAATGTTTTATAACAATTTTTGTCATATAGGAACATAGAATACAAAAGGATACCTTATAATGTTTATAATTTTCTAAATTAAGTTTCAATAAGAATACTGAAATCTCTGCATCATTTTGTAAACTATGGTATCCTACAATAAATATTATTTAACTTAATCATTTTTATTTTATCCGTAAGACAAAACCAGGATTGTCTATACATTGTTCAGAATTAAACAGAAAATAATCTCAAATAAATAATTTCAAGAACCATTCTTTACTTTTTTATATCTCTTATTACAAAATTGTTTTCACTAGCAAAATTTATTATTAATTTGTTCAGTTAATAAAATTTCAATAGAAATATAATAACGTTAAAAATAATAGATAAAGAAATATTATGTAAAAAAACAATATGAATATAGAATCTAATTTATCCATGTTATACTATGTTTTGAAAGAATGTATATATTATTATACTGTTAAAAATATTAGTCGTTGTTATTAATATATCCATGGATAAAGAACAGCATTAAGTATATTCTTTTATGTTTATGCAAATAATAATAATTTTACTCGTACGAGCAAATAAAATAATTCATTTGGTTTTTTCTTTCTTTTTTTTTTTCTCATAAATGTATCATCTCTGTAATTTGCGTTGTTGCCTTGGCATATTAATACTGAAAATTAGTAACAAAGAAATTTGTCTAAAGTAAATAAATCAAACATTTAATGATACATATCTGGTTGTAATGCAATGACATAATTCACTACACATGACACATTATGAAATGCTCAAAACTTACAGATTCTCGTTAATAAATAATTCATATATACACAGGAGAAGGTTGTATATATACACACACGCACACACATACACGAGAAACAGAGGCACACGCGCACATACACGCACACAAATATGTACAATTAATTAGCCGTTATTCGCGACGTGTTGTACAAAAGTCCGAAATAACGTTTGCCTTTCCGTCAGTTTGGCCGAATTGAGCATAAGGAAGAATATATAACAGAAAGATATATATGGAAGTAATATATAACATTAGAATACAGATAATCACGGCACAAATTTATCTATGAATATATATATATGTTTCTACCGACATTTTCATTGTTGTCCAAATAGAAAAAGATTAAAATGTAAATGATAAATAAAAATATGAGTAATTAGATATAATATATATATATATATATATATATATCAAATTCGCTATCGCATCTATTATAAATAACCACGTGATATGTATATAACGATAGACGAAAAATAAAAAGTTATACTTTCATCGAGAATCCTTAAATATTTCAATTTTTAACAGAACAATATTGAGATATTTTTTATACAAATAATCGGCGGAATACAATATTCATATTACATTAATTTTGAAGTGGACATAAATGAGAAATGTTTGCTCATTTATGTATAAACATTATCTATATATAAATCAAACATACATGTATAATATACTTTATACATATCATAATAAATAATACAATAAAATTTGTGAAATTCTCGGTAAAAACATTATATACATTGAATCAATCCCTAATGATTGTTTTTTAAATATTCGATTATGCTTCTGATTAAGCAAGCTCTATTCGACACCAATCAGTCGGAGGTTGGGTTGAGAAATATGTTTTTCTCGTACCTATATGTATATTTATACTTAGATACATAGAAGGCGTCAAAGCTGCTACATACTGATCCATGATGTACATACACATATGGGATTACAAATGGTTGCTTTTGGAAGGTCCTCGCGTTGGAATGTCTATAAATAGTTATTATTAACTAGCATACATTACAAATAAGTTCAGTCATTTACAAGTACTGCTATGACTCTTCCGAAAGGGAGAGACGGCCATGTTCTTTCAAAAGGCGCAGATTATCAATTTTACATGACTGTATATTTTATATAAATTAAGTCTATACACTCTCTTAATATATTCCGTAACAATAAATGTAATTACGTTACTTTGATAAAGATGCTCTCTCTCTCTCTCTCTCTCTTTAAACATTTTCTTTTGCAATCAAACTAAAGTTAGTTGATTTTAGAGCGACAAGAATTAATAAAATACTTCATAAATTCTGCAAATAACAAGATAATTATTATACAAGTAAAGAGGTATATATATATACATACACCCATACACACACATACACACACTCTCTCTCTCTCTCTCTCTCACACACACACACACACATACATACGAAGCTTTGATAGAAAATATTTCTATCGTATTCTTTGAAAAATTAACTAAGAAATCTGAACCATTTTAATCTGGTGCATCATTTAATAATCCATTATGTTAATTTTTCAAACAAAATAAACTTGCATCAATGGCAATTAAAAAAAAAAAAGAGAACTACCAGAGCACTTTAGCACAGAGGTAGCGTAGCATTGCTTTGGCTTTAGCGAGTCCTTTTCACCATTATAGAAGTGGATGAATTGACTGGTAATGCTAAAAGAAAAGACAACTTGGCGATGCGCAATGAATTTGTACAATTGAACGTACAAAACGTGTGTATCACATTCACGCATCTGCACGCAATTGGGGCACTGCCGTTTAAGCGCTCATATTTAATTATTATAAAAGCATCGCGTCACACACGTCTTTGGCAGAAATTATTTGATAACGTGAACGCCCCTTCGGAAGATCGTGCAGAGCTATGGAACTACAACGAATGAACAGCTTGCATGGGATACTTTATAGGGAAACAAACATTAACAACGATTCCTCAATTATCAACAACATTAACAACATCACCATTATAACTTGTCATCATTGCGATCGTCTTTATCATGATTAATTTGTCATTTTACAGTCGCTGTCTTTGTCTCTCAGTCTTTTGCCACCTTCTTTAGCATCTTAAAGGTTTTATTGATAATTATTATTATCGTCATAATCATTGTCTTCTGCATTATTATTGTTATTAGCAATTTCACTAGCACTGTCGGTATAGTTTATACTGCCATTGGCTCCAATCATTTCTTCCTGTATATTTCATCTAAGTCTCTTTTTTTTATCTGTGTAATTATGCTTGCGTTGTGGATCCTTTTGCTACCGATGTAACACACAGTAGTAGTAGTAGTAGTAGTAGTAGTAGTAGTAGTAGTAGTAGTAGTAGTAGTAGTAGTAGTAGTTGTAGTAGTAGTAGTAGTAGCAGTAGTAGTAGTAGTAGTAGTAGTAGTAGTAGTAGTAGTAGTAGTAGTAGTAGTAGTAGTAGTAGTAGTAGTAGTAGCGTAGTAGCAATGATAGTAGTAGTAGTAATAATAGTAATAGTAGTAGCAGTAATAGTAGTAGTAATAATATAGTAGTAATAATAATAATAGTAATAGTAATAATATTAGTAGTAGTAATAGTATTAATATAAGTAGTAATAGTAATAGTAGTAAAAGAAACGTTCGAAGGGTTTAGTAACGCGGCTTAAGTAAAGAAAATAAAATAATTTCTTTGTAAAGCATCAAAAAATCAAGATACAATTTCTTCATCGTTACGATCATTTTTACTGGTATATATGCACATTTTTATTACTGGTATGCACCTGAAAGCGATAACATACGGTCCCTTGATAGGACAATTATAAATTAACATTAAACGTCGTTTCATATTAGGATACCTAATAACGTTTTAAACACTTAGCTATACATTGCGCACATATTTTGGTATAAAATGTCTGTTCATAAGAGTCTTTCTTAACAGGCTAGCTTCTTAAACGCATCTATGTAATTGCATTTCTTTCGATAAGATCTTTTCTTATCTGCAATAGTTACTTGTTGAATTTTATTTATAATACGTAGTATTTTTTTATTATATACGTGACTCTACAAACATTCAAAATTCATCGAAATAAGAAAGAAGAACAAATACTCTAAAGTTCCATTTGTGAAAAGTAAGATACATATAGACTTGTCGGCTCATCATTGTCCTCTTACAGACACAGAAACATAGAATGCAGTCCCCGTCTTTGTATATAAAATATTAACGATTCCCCGAGTGTATACTGCATCATTGTGAATTTCTTTTAACCATTCATTTTGTGCTAGTTACGACAACATAAGCCGCTTTTATATGCAGAATTATTATATAAGTACACGATATAATACAAGAAGGGTGCAATAGTAATAGTAGAATATCTAAAGTGCCATGTAACAATATCTTACTAAAACTACAATTGATCTGTTACCCGTAAAAACATAACAAGTCAAATGAGGCGGATTTATTGTCGTGATTGTGTTCAACTCATTTTGGCCTTCGAGGAGATATACTGCAATTCCTTTGAATGCAGATGCGACACATGACCACCTCCTACATTTCAGTATCTATAAGAAAATAATTTACGCGTAGGTATTTCTTGTCAAAATATATGGCACGCGGAACGTCATTAAATGTGCGATCATACAAATGAAGGAAACATTTAAGAGCTCACTTCTGAGCATACAATAAATACAATCGTTTTTACGTTACAATTTTACGTTCACGCATCTATGTATATTATTACCGCGTGCCACATGGCGTAACAATACGAAGATATCTTTTGGATGTTACTTGAAGCTCTTACAACTTTTACAACACACTTGCGTACAGACAGTAGTAATAGCTGGGGTTCTGGACTAGACATGATGGGGTTGAAGATGGGGCAATCTGTTTGACGAGTTGGATCAGGATTTCATATTAGAAACGTCCGTTCGCCTCTCTGTTCCTACCGTTAATAAATTTGCAAATTCCATTTCTAAAAGTTGTCTTGCCTAAAATAATAATAAACGCGATAAATGCGCGAAGTTATAATTAATTGATATTGATATATATATGTCAAAATATATATATATATACATATATATGCAATAGTGTACTCGATATAGACCTGTGTATTTTGTGTAGGAATTTGCAAAGCGAGAGCAAAACTATTTGCATCAAAACTTTCATCCAAAGCAATTAGGGCACCATGTACTCCAGATTCTAAGAGATGGTTTCCATATTCCTATGATAAATAATGTAGATAAATTATTTTTCTTTTCTTAACGTTATTATCGTTTCAATAATTGAATTTAATCGCACCTTTAGACCGATTGATTGCACCCATCGTATGACTCTATCGTTACTCCATACAAGAACATCTACATTAGCTCCTTCTGCCATCCTTCTTCTTTCTTCTAACTGTTGTCTGTCATAATTTAATCTCTTCAAACACGAAATCCCGTACTGCAAACTTGTTCTGCAGTGAAACAAATCAATGTAATGAAAATTACCTTTTCTAGTATATATTTATTTATCTATGCGCAAACGAAGAAACTTTTTTGTAATTACATTTTTATAATTCTTTCCTACCCCGTTAACGGCTTGAAAAATAATCAAAAACGTATATTTTAATCGGACATACATTTATACATACCTATGAAAACTATCAATCATCCTAAGTTGACCACGCAGATCCTTTTTAGTGAGGTGATCCAACATTCTAGCGTCAACAAGGCACTCCATGAAAGTGGATCGATATTGGGGTAATCCAAGACTCGGCAACCATACATTTCCTATCCATTCGTGATTCATATCTCCAAAAGCTAATGTTGTGCGAGAAGTTTTAGGTGCAGATGGACTTGTAAGTGACACCATTTCCTGGATAGCTAGTCTCAATTTCAATCGGTGCAAAGAGTTACTATAAATCAGATTATTTATTAAATATAAAATCTCGATCTGTTAATAGTTTTTTTATTAAAAACAATAACAATAATCTATATTATAATGATAAAATGTAAATGGAATATACCTGATACCGATTTCACGTTGTATTTCGGTGTCACTCAATGCACTCATTATAGCACCACTTTTGACGTTAGCTCGACATGCCGCAACATACCAGGTAGGCATTCCCACCCAAAGCTCCAGCCAAGCAACAACAGTTGGTCCGTTCCAAAGAGCAAAAGGTGTTCCAGCTTTCATCGCTTCAGCCAATAGCTCATGTCGTGAAGAATCCAGCATACTACCAAACATACTGGGACTAAAACAAGTCCGATGTGCCAATGATCGCAATAATCATAAAAATAAAAACAATTTTTCTTTTCACAAACTTCTATTCTTTTTCTTCTTCTTCTTCTTCCTTATTGTTTGTTTCTTCTCTAAATTACTTTTTTATTTATATTTATATTTTTAGATTATTGTATCTATTGAACATATTTAAAGTAGAGGAAATAAATATACCTTTTCTTTTTTCTTCGATCAAAATCACTCTTGCTCCCTAATGTTCCTGCCACAGAGACGCTATCTCCATAATCAGGATCTGCTGGTGTACTCGCACCTCCCATACCAGGTACATCTCCAGGCATCGTTGTATCCTTTCCTTTTATCTAATATAGAAAAAAGGAAATAATTAGAAAAAATATTTTTATACTTAAAAAAATTTATGTGAAGCCAACAAAACATTTACCTTTTCCTTTTTACTGAAAAATCTACCAAGACTGCTCTTTATGCCTTTTTTCTTCTGAGCTGCTGCCACTGCAGCTGCTGTTGCTGGACTCATGGTTGTTTGCATGTGCAGATGCGAACTCGACAATTGTCCAATGGGTAGTCCAACACTGGATAGATTGTTCTTGTGTAAACTGTCCTGGCTACTGTGGCGTGAGGACAATGGGGAAGGAGGAGTCCCAGAATTGAGTGCGCCGTTGCTATGTTGTCCATGCCTGCTGCATGGAGCGCTAATCTAGTCTCTATTTCTACTCTAATCAGTGCTACTACACTAGCTCACACAAGACATTTCTACTTGCTTGTGTGCTCCTCTATATGATTTATTATGTTTATTATATTATATTGATCTTGTTCAAAAAATCACATAACACTAACTTGTCACAGACTTAATGTAATCAAAATATAAGAAAATATGTGTATAGATTGATTGCATCTAATCTCTGCAATACTCTCAAAACTATAATTAAATCGTATTATTTATACCATTTGTTATATATTTGATAACACAATGGTGTACTCTGGGAACTTACGAAGATCAAGTAAATTGCAATGATGTATCAAATGCATTAGAATTAATAACAGCCAACAATAATAGATATTAATGTTATAAGCAAAAATATTAATTAGCATATAATGAATATAGCAAAATAATTTACTACACCAATAATATTTACTCTAATATTTCATAAAAATATTATATACTATAAAAAATTTATTACAGCTAAGATATTGTCAAATTATGCAATTATTGTAGAACATAATATTTACTAATTATTGCTATTACTGAATATTTTCATATACAAACATATAAAAAAAGCAATTTTTTACACGAACATCTAAATAAATAGCTTCAACTCGTTAATTAATAATAAGGAAACATTCAAAGTAAAAATACCTACTCGATATTACATGATATGCATAAAAACCTGGAAATACATCTGATTACTGTTTATAAGACGGAATTTCCATGTGATAAAAGTTATCATCTTCAAAGATACAGAAAGATTTTAATGCTATATATATTCACATTTTTATTATGTTTAAGGAAAGCTTGATGCATAACTATACAAATACACTAATATATTTGTTACTTATATTATCAAATCTCTCTGTATCCTTTGTAGTTTGTTTGTAAAAAAAACAACCTTGTTCGCACAGATGTCTGATGTATATCTTGCATGCCATGCAACTCTTTTGATTCCGTAAGTTCCCTCGTCTGTTTGAGACAACGATGTATATCATGAACTGGACAGGCTTGAGTATACGATGCGTGGAAGAAGTTACTATCAGTTTCTTCCAAGGACTCATATCTAGCAGATTTATCGGGTGCTTCGTCGTTGCCACTGTGCTCGAAAATTGAGGCTGTGGGCATGTACGTTATGCCTGGGACACTATATTTATCAATATCATATCTCTTGTACAAAACATTTAACTATTATTTTAAAGCTTTCTGATGAGATTGACAAATTTCTTGAAAGTAATATGGATATGTATGTGTAATATCTTGTGTATAACAAAATTAAAGAGAAAGAGAAAGAGATAGGGGGGAAGAAGAAATAGAGATAGAGACAGAGAGGGGGAGGGGGAGAAAGAGACAGAGGAAAAACAGATTACCATTAAATTCACTTTGGCCGACCTCAAGATCATTTATTCTATGCCCACATTTGTCTCTCAAATATGTCGTGCACAGCGGCATGTAATGCGGAATACATGCAGTACTAGAAACTTTAATTAACCTGTGTGGGGAAAAGCCACTGCTGGGGAATCCTGTTTGTCCAGTACGTCTGATAGCATGGATAGCAAATTTATGAAACTAATAATTTACAAAGTTCAATGTATATCTTTTAAATTTTATAGTTATATTGACCTATATCTTGATAAATTTATTGTAGAAATAATAATTGTAACAATTAATTTTGGCACATTTTCAAAAATGTTATCTTTCAATATGAGATCCTTTTGCATGTTAATATATACTAATTTTATAATTGCTTTTTACTATTATGAAATACATATGCAGTCACGAAAATATTTGTAAATGTTAAAAATTTGTTTCATAAAAATTCTACATTTTCATTTTTCTCTAGAGAAGCTCATCTTTTGAGTGTCCTTAAAAGCTAAATTTGTTTATCTCATACATACCTTCTTAGCTCTTCCTGGCTATGAGCAAGTGCTTGCACAACACGTTCTAATCTGAGTGATCTGGCTGTCAATGGGGAAGCGGCATCGCTGCTAGCACTTCCAGCACCACCAACGCTGTCTCTTTCACTCACTGAATGCAGTTCTTCTCCAGACAACTGCAACTGCCAAAGGCAGAAAGCATTAAGCACCCAGTTTTATCAGTTCAATAATGTCAAGAATTTATAATATTGTAAAATGTCTATTTTTTTTATAATACAATTAAGATACTAATAAGCAGTAAACCTGGCTTGCAGGAAGTGATTCTGAAAGTTGTCCAGGACTAGCAAGGGATGCAGCATACTGATGTAAATGAGCAGGAGACATTGATGCTGGTGCCTATACAAGTGATGAATTTTACTGTATTTTTTAAATTTCATTAGATATAAAAGTAATATAAAAATTGAATGTCTATTAAAAATAAATAAATAAAACTAAATGCTCACTGTGTGATATTTGTGTAAATAATCTCTGTTAGGGCTGTGATGTGATTTTGGTGTAGAGCGACCACTTAATGGAGGTGACGCTCGCTCGAGACTGCGTCCTCTTGCTAATAAATTCATATGTTCAAAGCTACCTACTCGAGATTCTAATTCTTCTGCTCGTGCTTCGGTATTCTGTTTTTCTTCCTGTAAAAAACTTGTTCATATTATAATCTACATAATAATAGTGTTTATATAATAATGTTTCATACAAATTTTTCCAAAAAGTTTATTTACCTGAATTAATCTAATCTCATTATTGATAGCATCTAATTGTTCTTGTAACATTAGCGCAAGTGTTTGAGCATCGGTGTGTCCTGCTGGACTAATTACCTCTGCCGAACAACTGAAGATACTTTCATTATCACCGTCACCTTCAGCGTCGCTGGAAACATCAAATGCTTGTTGCACATTTGCTAGAACATGAGCTTGTTGAAGTTTTTCCCATTCTTGTTCCGCAAGAGTACGTACTACATAATTCTGAAAAAACAAAAACATATAAAATATCCTAATTCCCATGTAATTTTTAATTTAATAACATTTAAATAAGATGTCTAACAAAATACCTTTGAAGCATCCTCTTCTATCACAGCTCTTTTGCCTCCTCTCCTAGGTAATGAATGTGTGTCAAAACTACTATGACTTGCACTTCTAGAAAATGAGCCAGGATCCACAGCATTTGGAGAAAGACTTCTAGTCAATGCATCCGTTTGTTGAATATTAAAAGCAATTTCTTGCTGAAGCATTTGTCTCTTCACATTATCAATTTCGAGACGTGCTTTTCCTAGTTCTTTAACAATATCTGCTTTTTCATTTTGTAAATCTTCAGCTATTTTCCTTGTCTTTTCAAGTTCCTGCGTTATCGCATTCTTTTCTTCTATTGCTTCCATTCTTTCTGTTAAATGTGTCTGTAACCTGTCATTAGATTCTAAAAAAATAATTTAGATTATTTAAAATTATGTGATGTGATATATGTATTTATCAACATATATTTTACTATTTACCAGATAAAAGTTTATCAACGGTTGCACTTAATCGAGTATTATGTTCCTCATTCATCTTAAGTCGTTGATTGACACGCATTACTTCTGCATTTTTCTCTTCTAATTGTGCTTCTAACCTTTGTATTCTATCTTCTGCACTACCATGCCTCTCCTGGGCCTGCTTATTAGATATTTTATATAGTTAAAATTAAATGTTAATAAGCAAATAATCTTTGAAAAATTTACCAATATATTTTTTATGAGATACTATTACTTTTTTACTTATTACTTTTTTACTTATTACTTATTACTTTTTTAAGATTCATTATAAAGAAAACATTATATATTTATCAAAATAATTTGATAGATTTTTACAATTATTGCATATGTCAAGTTAAAAATAAAATTGTGAAATTTCTAATACAATATTCTTTTAATTAGAAGTTTGATTCTTCCTTCCATCCTTTCCCTTTATTTTGTATGTATCTCTAATATACACGAAAACTACTTTCCAGACAATATTAGAGTGGAAACGAATGTAGAAGCAGAAGAATGCACAGTATAGAAACACAAATTTGTGCCTGAAGAATGAATCTGTTTTAGTGAAATAACAAGAATTATATGAAATCATGACAAAGCTTTAAATATAAATGTATAGAATGATATATGTTTGAAATTGTTTGTGGATTATTTGTAATGAAAAAATTAGTCAACCAGGTAAGCAGCGTGTGTATGTATGTGTGAATGTATATCACAGACATATAAATAAATAAATAAGTAAATATACATATATAATATATATTAATATATATATATATATATATATATATATATTAATCTTTGAGTATCATAGATCTTGTACTTGTGTATATCAGTATTTTGTGGGTAAATATAAAAATAATCCGTAGTGTTTTTAACATTGAATGCATCTGTTAAATAGTGTATGTAACACATTAAAGTATTGCTTACACGGGATATTCATAAAAAAGAAAAATGGAAAAAAAAAAGAAAATAAAAATAGCTAAATGTTACATGTGTTGCACAACACAGACAACTTGAAGTTTTTCAAATAAAATATAAGAAAAATTATTTTGCATTGATGATGCAAGATATCAAGAACAAGCTTTCTAGAGACATGTATGTATATATTTTAGGGTTCTCAGTAAAAGTGCAGAGGAATAAAAAAGGGAAAATTGACAGTGCAATTATATGATTCCCCTGCGTACCTGGTTGGGCCTCCTCACCTGGGTCAGAGCCTCCATCCTCTGCTTCAATTGTTCTTCCATTTCAGGTAACTTAGCATATTGGGTTAATTTTTGTTCAGCAAGTTCCAATTTTTCTTGTATAGCTGCTATCTTTTCTTCTTGAAGCTGTAATAGTAAAAATGTTATTTTACAAAATAACGAATTCTATTTAAGTCGATTAATATCTGCACTAGAGTACCTTTAATTGAGCCTTTTTATGTTGAAGCTCCTGTTCTAATTTCTCATTGAGATCATGTAAGCTAGTTGATTCCCGTTGAGCATTGAGATAACGTTTTTCAAGAGTTGCAATCCTTTCTTCTTGGTCCTCTTTCTGTGCAACATTTTCACGCAGATCTCTTTGCAACTTAACATTAATTTCCTGAGTTTTTAAAAGATCCTTCTGAGTTTTAGAGAGTGTTTCTTCTAATTCTGCAACTCGTCCACTCAATTCTGCTACACGCCGTTGCCATGTACTTAACTCAGTACTCTGAAATAATAAACAAATATTCTTACTTAGAGTAATAATATAAGTTTAATTTATTAAGTTGATGCAGTATTAGTTTGTATGTACAATAAAAGTGTTTAAAAAATACTTTTGCGGAAAACACATATTTTTACAGAACTATTATATCATATAATATTAAAATAAATACAAAAATAAAGTTTATATATATATATATATATATATATATATATATTATATGAAATATATATAAGTAGTAATAATACAATAAAAAGTGAAGATATACATAATTGTATAAATGTTTGTGTCAAGTATCCTATATATGAATTATAAATTTTCCGAAATAAAACTATGTTTTTTCCAAATAAAATCAGTTCTTATTCACTAAACATGCAAATACAGTATGCTTGACATTTACAGATATTAATCATTCCACATCGTGCCATAGGCATTGTTATTTAAGATAAGATATTATGGTAATAAATGTTTCAAGTTGTACTATTTGAATAATATAAAAATATTAGAAATAACTTGTCTACTAAAAATTGCATATAAACTATATAGTTATATAAATTAGTAAAGCATATCACAGCTGATAGCTAAATTTATATTATTTCTAATAACTTTTATTAAGTAAACTGAACCACATTGAATTTCACTATTTATTTAAACTATAATGAGAGAGAGGGGGGAATGGGAGAGAAAAAATATATATATCGATTTATAAATTAATCTAATTGAAGTTATTAAAGTGTTAAAGGTCCTACATTTTTTATTATTTATTTTATCATAATCAATAGTATATATCTAACAAATATTTTAAAACAATACTTATTATTAAATGAAATATCATGCATTTAATGTAATTAAGTAATAAATAATATAATAAAACAATTTATATTAAAAAAGAAAAACCAAGAAAGATTTTATAGTATTATTTTAATTTAAATAATATATTAAATAAAATAATATTATAATTTTAATATTTGACAGATTTTTTGTTCCAAATAAAGAGTAAAGAATATATAAATGAGTTAGTGTAAAATTTTAGACATTATGTATTTATTCACGGATTAAAGTCAAAAATAAATTCATGCAGAACATAGTTTTAAAACGCTTTTCATTCTATAAAAGATCTTGTCTTAGAAAATCACATACTTGTTATATAGAGAGCAAATAATAATAATAATAATAATAATAATAATAATAATAATAATAATAATAATAATAATAATAATAATAATAATAATAATAATAATAATAATAATAATAATAATAATAATAATAATAATAATAATAATAATAATAATAATAATAATAATAATAATAATAATAATAATAATAATAATAATAATAATAATAATAATAATAATAATAATAATAATAATAATAATAATAATAATAATAATAATAACACGCTTTATTTTTTTATATATAGAGATCTACCTGAATCTCTATAATGATTGTGTTTCTAGCATCTTGCTATAAAACAGTTCCATACCTGCTTATCAAGAGTGGCTTGCAAGTCTATTACTCGTACTGCCGAATCCTGGTCGGATGGATCAAGACTGCCATTGCTCAATCTGCTTGCTATCTCTGTTGGCTTCTCTGTACCTAGCTTTTGTATTGCGTGTTGCTGCTGCTGCTGCTGCTGCTGTAGTTGCTGTTGAAGCTGCTGTTGTGGCTCCTGCTGACTTTCAGCCTGCTCAGTCTCATTCTGCCCGATCACAACACTACATTCAGAATGCCTCGCTCGCATTGCCTGTCCTGCATTGCCGCGTAATTCCCAAAATCTACATATAACAGCTACGCGACTATAATACTACCGTGCACTACTGCAGATGCATTCTTATGGATGCAAGGAGTAAGATGGATGAAAAGAAGAAGGGAACGAATATAAACCTATTATCGTACCGAATTCCAAATTTAGAAATATTTCATTTCAAATATTTCAATATCGCTAAGAGAAGGAGAATTTCACGAACACAATAAAAAAAATTTATTTGAAAGAATATTTAGGAAGTTTTTTTTTTTATAACGAAAGTTTCTATCAACATTATCCCAATAATACATTTGGAAATGGCAATGACACTGATGAGAATAAATACTTAATTTTAATTATTTTTATAGAACAATTACTTTCTAGTATTATCTTTTGTAAGATTTGAATTATTTTCTTTATCTTTCATTTTAATATAATATCCGTTAAACATAAATTTTATCCTTCCACTTACCAAAAGGCAAGAATCCATATACACATATCACACATTCGAGAAATGTATAGCCGATGAAAAATGAAATGAGGACGATAAGTAAGGAGGAAACCGAAATTCGATATCATTAATAATCCTCTATGAATTCGTCAATAAAAAAAAAAAAAAAAAAAAAAAAAGGGATTTATTTTTCGAACACAGTGCAACTGCAACGATGCCAAAAATGAAATCTACCGCTTTGAATAGACAATTAGCCGGCAAAAGAGGATTTATGCTAAACACGAGCATGCGTAGTGAAATATTCCATAAATGCAATTCATGACTCTCAAACAGTTTGAACACCTCCATGTACACATGATCAATGCGAGATATGAAATAGCAATTTGTGTGAAATTTTTGTGAGAGTGTTTACATGAATGTGCAATGTTGTATTGAGAAATATTGTTTTTCATACCTTGTTTTGTTGTTGACCATCGTCTGTTTGACCATTTTCTTTAGGTTTGTCATCTATGGCTTTAGGCGTAATTCCACTTACTTTATACTGTTGGAGCTATAATTCGAAAAATTAATGGATAATTAATAAATAATTATAAGAGAATCTTATGAAATATTGTCCAAAAAGTTTGTGATATTTTTTCGCTAACACAGAGATTCACAAAATGTGGATCGCATGAAATATTAAAATATGATAATAGTTTATATGTTCATTAAGAGAATTCATTGATGGTGGATCAGAAAAAATTACCATTTTCGAAAATTGATATCGGCCCAAAAAAGTTTAGGAATAAGATAAACTAGTGACGCAAATTTCGTGAATTTTTAAATCCATATGAAGGACTTAAAAAGGAAGATAAGTTGAACTTTCTGATATTTCTTTTCTTTCACATATACATATATATCAAAACATATCAAGGCATTTGACCAAGTTTTTATAAATCGTTTTTCTTTTGTAAATCATTTTAATTTGATCTTACTGAAGATGGAAGATAATTCGCACCAACTTTTTGACAGTTCAATAAAATAACGTACCTCTTCTTTGGTATGGGCCAATTCCTCTTCAAGGCTCGTATTCCTTTCGAGAGCTACGCGCAATCGTTCGCGTACCTAAAAAATTTAAAAATAAATGACAAAATAAACGATTCAAAAGGATAGAAAAAATACGAATAGGAAAATTATAAATACGATAAAATATGTACCTTCTCGTCCAAAGCTTTATGATGTTCGAACAAACTCTTTAAAGCTTTTAGTACTTCAACTTCCGACGACACGCCCGATTGTGCCGCGGCTTGACGTTTTACGACCGTCATCCTTAGCGATCGTTCGTGTCGAGAAACCAAACATTCAAGATGTTCCAGTAGAAGCTGAACAATCAATAAATATAACGTCGGAGATAATAATGTTTTATTATCTTTTATTTATTTTTTAATTTCTTCTTTTAATGTAATATATGTTCCACGAAATGTTAGATATTAAAATTATAGCACATATATTTATATTATATTATATTATATTATATTATATTATATTATATTATATTATATATATAGTATATATATTTATTTATTTATATTTATATTTTATGCAGGAAATATAACTATTCACGTACACGTGTGTTGTTCCGTTCTGCTTTCAATTCTGATATTTCTTCTTCTCTCTGTAAAATGTTTTCACGTGCCGCTGCTAATTCTTTTGTTAATTGTGACAGTTCCTGTAACATAAGTTAAAAGCATGCTGCTTAAAGAACTTCTTCTTAAATCTTTTAAATTATTGCAACCAACAATTATTATTGCATACTTATTAATATTCGTATCAAATTTTCTTGTTTCTTATCAAAGAAAGTAATCGTACACATACGCACACATACAGAAATGTATGCGTGCTGTTTCAGGATATACAGTTTGATAATAAAAGACTATAATCAACAAAATTATCATCGATCACATGTTCCGAGATTTTTACTTAAGAGATTAGTATATACAATAAAGATAGAGTATGAGTTTCTAAATATACCAGGTACACGTGAAAGACGTAAACTAGATTATCATAGATTAATAGATCTACGAAGAGTACTATCGAATCGTAAAACGTTAAATAATTTCTGTTACGAACTAAATGAATATTTCAAAAGCATCGCTACTTTTGTTCATAGTTTTAAATTTATCTCCGAGAAAGACGATGATAGAAATGAAGAAATGAAGAGAGGAGAAAGGGAGGGGGTTAAAGGTTGAAAAGAAAAAAAAAAGAAAAATGTAGGTCATCGCGAAATATATTGTCGATAAGGGAAGAAAGAAAAATATGGGTCGCTATATTTAATCGTCCATTAAAACAAATTATTCATATCCTTTGATCGTGTGCTTCGATATTTCCCCTTAAACTCGACACCATCATCTTTGGAGTAGAGATAACGAGATGAAACACAGTATTTATTTTCTCAACGATTAATTAGCTTCTCAATGCGAATTATTACGCCCCGTTTAAATTGGACAATTTCATTCTACCAAGAAGAAACATACGCACTCACACACACACGCGCGCGCGCGCGCGCGCGAAGATCAAATCACTTTCTTTTTTTTCTCTTAATCGTTCGCCGTCCCTTAATAATGATTAGACATTTTTCACCTCGTGTTATTATACAATTCTTAGAAATAAAAAAAAGTGCCTTGAAATATACCGATTGCACTTACATCAGTAATAATCTCATACATTTAAAGTTATCCTCCAACAATTATAATTTAGATTCAATCGAGAGATAGAAAATGTTTATCACTTCATGTTTTGTACCGTTCGTATCAATATGAATGTAAAACACGGATGAGAAAAAAGTCATATGTCTTCTCTTTTTTATAGACACTCGAGATGCAGCCTAACATTGAAGAAGAATCTACGTCTGCATCATCTCATTGCTATTTTAATGATACGATATAGAAACGTATAACACGCAATACTTGCATAATAACGAGAAATTGTCAGATTTTATTACCTGAATTCAAAGTCATCTACGAATAGATAAGCCTTCTTCCCCCCTCTCTCTCTCTCTTTTTCTTAATCAACAGAATATTTCTACGCTTTTCGACGTTTCTATTTATCGCGAGACTACATCTGAAGAAACTATTACGTTATAAAGAAACTATTCGACATTTTGTCACTCATTTTGTATTCGTCTGAATATTTGAGGTCATTTCGAACAAATTAAAAAAAAAAAATAATAATAATAATAATAAATAAATCAATCAATAAATAAAAAAATAAAAATAACAAAAATAAATCAAATAATAAAAACAAAACAAATATTCTTGCATATTATATAAAAGATTCGATCAAGAAAATGTACGTGAACATAAAGATATATGTATCTATGTTCACATGCATTCATACGTATGTAAGTATTTATACATCCATGTGCGTGCGTGCTTGAGTGTTTACGAGTGAAAGAGTAAGAGAAAAAAGAGAAAGAGAGAGAATGATACTCATAATACGTCCTCGCTTATATTCGTATTCGTACGCGCGCATGGTACGACATGCGTTCGCGGTTCAATAACGTGGCGCAGGTTGGAAACTATGCAAACGATTGCTGCAATATCCGCACCCCTGTTGTCCGATCGCAAGGATGGATACGCGTTATTCTCACGTTTGCCGTGATTGCAAGATGTGACTGCTTTCCACCTCTTCGATGTCACTCTATCCGCAAAACACCAAATGAAACAACTTTCTTTTACTTTACCGGGGGAATAAAAAAAAAAAGAAAAAAAAGAAAAAAATATATATATATATATATTTGTAGTTTTGCTTTATGTTCCGTTCGTGTAATTTTTAAAAATAAAACCAATATTATTGGTTGATCAATAAGTAATATCAGAATTTTACTATTTTATGTTTAATTAAATATCGCTATTTTTCCTTTTCTTTTCTTTTATTTTATTTTTTTCTTTTTTCAACATTTTCCATTTTACTTATATTATTTATTTATTACTTATATTACTTATTTATTACTTACATTACTTGTATTATAATTTAATATTTAAAATTTGTAACTAAATTTTATTAAAAAATATTTACAATTGTTTATTCAGTATTTATTATTTATTTAGATAAAAACCATTGTAAGTTCCGACATTACTTATTGGTCGAACTAATATAATAAATATGATATTCTGGATTTAAATTCAATGCGTAAAAGTTTCTCGAATACTTTTTTTTTAAGTTAAAGAATTATTTTATAGATTTATTATAATATAGTTCGAATGATAAAATTTGAATTGCTTTTTAAGCTCGATATTTTTTATCTCAATCAATTCCATAAATCAATTTATCATAAAATCGATAGAACAAGTCTCAATGTCAATTTAAAAAATCGAATGCAAGATTAAATATAAGTTTCTTTTGAAATTGTTGCCGTTTAAACGCGTCAACGAATTTGACGAGATAAGAATATAGAAAAGATTCGCAGAGGTATGTAAAATAATGAAGGAAGATGGCGAAAGACTTAGAGTCAGCGAACGACTGTGAGGAAGGAAGAGGAAGGGAAGGGGAATAGAGAGAGAGAGAGAGAGAGAGAGAGAGAGAGAGAGAGAGAGAGAGAGAGAACTCGCACACGTTATGACTGAATCGTCGTGCACGCGAGCAGCTTCATTCATACGTGGATTTAGGCTTCGTTCGCAATGAAACAAGCACTCGAGAAGCAGCTTCATGGGCAATTTAATTCTCTCTTACCGTGCGACTTCTCTTTCCCTTTTTTTCTGTCTTTTCCTCTGGGTCAATATACGAAGAATCCTTTCAATAGCTACGATTATGATTACTACGTGTATATATACTCGTACATATTAACACATTATCAATCGATCACAGGAATTCTCATATTTGCACATATATCCAAACGTAATTATTAAAGTATAAAATTATATAAGTTGTTATTATAGTATTGTTATTTCTTTCTTTTTTTTTTTTTTGTATTGAATAGTGTTCAGTTAATTTTGATGTTATCAATTTTCCTGATTATTTAATATTCTAATAACGATTTGAATTCAATTATGAATATAGCCAGTGAAACGCATTACTTTTAACCGGTCAATAATATATTAACTATGGAGAGAGAAAGAAAGCATAAAAATCATAAGAGAAAATTGAATTAATTGCGATAACCAAAAAAGGGTCGAGTAATTTGAAGGGACTAACTAATCAAGTTAACGGGCTTCGCCAAGCAATAAGAGCACCTGCAATACACAAGCAAGATCATATTTCCTTTCAGTAGGTGTATCTGGTTGCTTTATATTAGTTAGGTATGCACATTCTCGAGGTGTGGCGAAAAATGTTTGATCATATATATGAATAGAAAAACGTGTGTATATATGTGTGTATTTGTGTACACATGGATTTTATGTATAAACGTGAATATATATATATATATATATATATATATATATATTTACACATGTATATGAAATACGTATGCATAAAATCAAGATGCATGGCAAGATCTCTTCTAGCAATGACGAGATCGTCTAGCAGTCTCTGCGACTTCGATTCAACAGAAATGTTTGCGTCGAAAAGGAAAGTACTTGCTCACGTCTGACAATGATGAGAACAACATCATGTGACTCTCTCACGAGATCTGCTTCGTCTTGTATTTATATCAAATAATTTCTCATGAAATTCATGAATAACCTGTATCTAAATTTTTTTATTAATTCCATCTGTATCATTTTGGAATACAGCCAATGTTCCAGAGAGAGAAAAAAAAAAGAAAAGAAAAGAGGAAAATAGACAAATCTAACAATACGAGTTGTAAGCTTAATATGCAGCAGATGCACATGTAACTATGTGCACTCGATAAATGTGCTTATTTCTTGCATGTCAGCCGCTCTTTCTCGCACATGCGCAACTTTCGAAATTTTTGAATAGAAACGTTCTCGAGTATTAAAGCCGCAAATAACAATGTCGCGAGTATATCGAGCTCGTTTTGGTTTTATGTCTCTTCACTTGATTTCTTTCCAACGATTTTGAATGTGTTCAAAATAGCAATTGGATTATTGAGGAATTTACTCCTGACAAACGGTTCCAACGGTTAAGTGATTATCATTTGAACGAAAAACGATCAATCTTTTTGATCAATATGAAACATATTAAAAAAAAAAAAAAAAAAAAAATAGAGAGAAATGATCATATCATAAAAGTTAATTACAGACTAACGATTTATTTGTAGTCTTTGATAAAAAAAAAAAAGTTAAACTAATGAACTCATTTTTCTCGCCGAAAGTAAAAATGAATTTTTAAAGGTTGAGAACCCTAAGCTCGATAAAGGTAGGAGGTGCTGCCACTCACAAGCGAGAACAGCAGCCAAGTAAGACAACAACGGACGACAACGGCAAGAATAGTGATCGACAATGAGATCGACGATAATGATCGACAGTAGTCAGAACGAGAGAAAAAGAGAAAAAAAAAGATAGAAGCGAAAAAAGAAAAAAAAATAGAGAGAGAGAGAGAGAGAGAAAGAGTCGAGGTCGTGTTCGCTACTACTCTACGGCGGAACAACGAAGAGTTGAGCGCGAGTAAGAGCTCTTAGTATTCTCTCTCCTTCTCGTAGTCGTCGTCGTCGTCGTCGCCGTCGTCGGCGCACCGTCAAGTAGAGTGTGTAAAAGGCGAGGTTCATTCATGCGCCGCCAACGAAGCGAGTGGGTGGGGTGTGTATTGATCGCAGAGTCGGCGTATATC